AAAATACTAAAAAAATCCAAATGTAAAAGTATAATTGAAAAATAATGAATAAATCTGCCTTTGTACAGCTTAGGTGTCCCTGTTTATTTTGTAGGTCATCAAGTAAACTAAGAAGAACATCCTTAGAACCACAGTTGATGTGGCTACCATACCATTTCACAGGTGTAATTGGGGCGGAAGGCATTCTGCCCCATCAGTACCGGAGGTGGTGGGGGGATGGGGATGTGAAAATGTCTTGATCTGGATGTGACGACTGCATAATGCTCTCACATTCAGGCATGAACACATGCACACACAACTGCCACTGCTGCCCCAGAGCTGCTGTTCATAGCTTCTTGCATTTCATGACAGAAGTGGACAGGTTGTAATTAACTATTGATGAGTTTGCCATCCTAACTGTGCATTATCCTCTGATCATTCTCAACCTTCTGTTTGACAACGGATGCCTTATAAAATCTTTATGCATCACTTAGCTAGTCTTGCTCTCTCTTTCTTCTCTAGAAATAAAATTGTCCTGGATATTTTTTTAAATTTTCCTAAAATATTTGTCTCCAAAGGTTTAAAGGAAGCAATGTACAAAATCTGTAGAACACCAGAAAAATACTTCTATACGTTAGATATTTTTACGTGACTCTTCCTGCTCTTTTAAGCGTATGAGGAAACACATATATACACCAGTGTAAGTGTGATGGAAATGATATAATTTTGGTCACTTGTAGTCCTAATTTTAAGGCTCTTTGTTCTGACACTGTGTCTATTTCTCCTCTGTCTGTCACATTCGCACTCACACACATATTCACAAACACACACAAAGGACACAAATTATTTCTTCAATCAGAAAGTCCTCAGTTTTCACAAACAGCCTTGGAAATGGTACAGCAAGAAAGGCTGCCCAAGCTCATCATCGCAGGTCAGCTCACCCGGCTGCTTCAACCTCCGTCAGTGCCTCCGTCAACATGGAGTTGACAGGGGAGCAGAGTCTGGGCTCAGCCTTTAGACTTCTGATACAAACAGGCCTCAGGAATTTGTCTGGTGGTTTCACCCTTGTAGCTTCTGATGAACTCGGAAGGAAAAGGAGGGAAAAGATCAGTGACCTTTGACTGGTAAAAGACCTTAGCATATTTATGGTGGGCACCATCACCTCTGTTGCAACAAACATCAAATTTCCACACAGTGCTGTTGACAGCATTAGCATCTGGACCCAGCAAAGAGGTGCTGCAGCCAACCAATGCCATGAATTGATCCCAAAATCCCAAAGGAAGGAAGGAAGGAAGGAAGAGTGCTTAGATCTCTTGGCCTTGGGTTTTGTCTGAAACCTGTGTTTGACTTTTTGGTGCTGCACTGGCTGCCAGCACTGTTCAACCCACAGTGCCCAATGCTCACAGGTACACACAGGACCAGTGTTATGATCTTGGCATGGGAATGCTGCAGACCCTGCAAGGAAAGTATGCTTCAGCAGCTCCTCTGCCTACCTGAATTTTCAACTGCTATTCAGCAGTCAGAAAGCACACAGTAAAATGGAAGGAGAGTGACTGCAGCCAGTTACACTGGCCTTCATGCACTTAAAATTTCTTAAAACAGCACGTGCTCTCAAGTTGTTTCACTAGAAAACTCTCTCTTCTGATGGCCTATATGAGAAGCCCTTTTGGAGACTGGACTTTTGGCAGTGTTCTTGCAAATGAAGGTATAAATCAGAAAAAATTCTTCCTTTCATGAGGACAGCAGATTGTGCCTCAGATATTTTTATCTAAGATTTTACTGAATTTCATGCTGACTTTAGCAGGAGATTCTCCTATGACAATAGAATAGGATATAGGGAATTGGCACTCATGATAGGAGCCCAGAGATGGGCTAAACCAGTTAAAAAAATAGACTGCGCATCCTGTTTGACACTGAACCTATGCAGCAAGATGTGCAGGAAATTCAAATAACTATTTCTAGCAGGCACAGTATGGCCTATGCCAATACAAAGCAATTAGTTGCTACATAAGCAGACAAAAGTGCCATTACAGACAGTATCTCTCAGCTGACCTTTTGCTAAGAAGCCATCTTGTTACTGTCTACCTGATAGCTCGATAGAGCAGCCAGTGGCAGCCTTGGGCTTCCTAAAGACAAATCAAAGTGCTCCAGATGGGACTTCCCTTCACTCACTGCAGATGTGTGTGCATGCTTGTGTGAGTGTGTGTGTGTGTCTGCATGTGTGTGTGTGTGTTAGGGAATGGGGAGGGAAAGCCTGGTTCTTATACTCAATTTCGCCTTCACAGGGGATAAACAGGCAATTACACATCCTTTTATATTTGATGGCCAAGTGCTGAACTTGAAAGCACACTATTAGTTTGTGTCCCTTCAGGGCCAGCGCAATAAGCAGCCAGGAGAGCTGGGGCAAAGGAAGAGAGGGTGTTGTCTGCTGTTAGTGTGACAGTCTTGTCAGCAGCATTCACATTACTGGAAGGTAATAAAGTGACAAGTAAGTTATTAGAAAGATATGAGGTGAAATTGAACTGAAGCTTCTTTTTGCTCTGCTCAGTTTTTTTCCTGCTTTGTAATGGGCCACTATTTGTTACAAAACAAGCCTTGTCTTGAGATCTTATAAAAAAAAGAAATATTTATTCTTTGCAGGAAAGGTCACATGAATTTACAACATCACACTTTAAAGGAGAGGAATGGGAAAATAGTTTCATGACAACTACAGCTGCTATTTAAAAAAAAAACACAGTGTCATCATAATGAACAATAATACTGGCAAAAGTCAGAGGACTTTTCAAAAACATGTCCATTTTTTAACCCTTTGGTGGTCCAGAACCATTTTCATTTAAGAGTCAGTGCCAAACATAACAGCAACAGTATTGGGATATACATGATCAATATACCTTGATCAAAAAATCAAAGCTGTCATTCAATATCATGACTTGAACAGAGAAAACAAGCCACACAAGACTGGTTAACTACAGACTCAATATAATACTACTTATGTAAAATAGTTGCTACTTCACTCTGCTACAGCCATTTTAAAGGCAGTGGTAATGCTGCAGTGTTGGCAGGAAGAGACAGAAACCATGAGACTGGATCAGACATGTATTTGGGCAAACATGCGGGTGAAAGGTTCAGTCCATCATATGATCTTGCTCTGTTCCTGAAGTAGAAATGGGCATGGAAAAGAGTTCCTTTTATGTCCCTACAGAACAGGAGAAAAAAGCCCAACTCATCATGTGGCAACAGCAGGATATGCTGATGCTTATCTAGCAAAGTAGCACTACAGTCACTGTTTTGTTGAGTTACTATAGCAGCAAAGTCTTTTCCTTATGTCACTACATAAGAAAAAAAACAAAACTAAGAAGTAACTGAAATATTCCAGCTGCCATCATGTGTCTGCCACTCACCTTCTCCCCCCAGAGCACTCCTGCTGCCTCCTTGCCCTTATCCAGACACTTTTGCTTCTTTTTTCAAATAAAAAGAGTGAGTCTGTTAACCCAAAGAGAAAAGGGACAAAAACATTCTGGGGACTGAAGAATTAACAGTTCTGTTCATGTATGTGGCAAAAAAAAATTTAAAGGAGCATGTGTCTGCTCCTTGACCACACACTTTCCCTTCCTTATAATTACTCTGCCACCAATGTTGCTGTGAAAATGTCCTACAGAATTTGAGTACATTTCTAAAAATATGTCCTGTTTTCTGACAGCAGCTGACATCCTTAATGACCACCATGTGAAAAATGGGTCCACATCAAGCTTTTTAAATACAAAATATCATACACGTTGAAGGAGAAATTTTTGGAACTAAATCCCTGGTCTTGAAAATGGTTCCTATCTCTGGAACTGATCGGACCTTGAATTACCATATTTCTGAGCTTTCATGATACCCACATAGCTTTTTGTCTTGTTGCTTTCACATTCCTACCCCATATATTTAGCTATGTTAGATCCTCAACTGGGTTGAAAAGGCTAAAACTCAGGGAAAACTCAAGTGCATCCTGGGAGCCCCACTTCCTATTAATTGTACTAGACCAAATCAACCGAGGTAGCTGGCAGCTACTTTACAGAACCTGACTCTACTAATTTTTCCTAAAGAGTGCCTTTTTTGGGGATGGAATGGGAAACATATAGGTGATGGAAACTGTATAAACCTGTGGAACAGGCAGGAGGAAAGGAGACAGGGAGGAAGGGAGACAGAGAAGGAAGAAGGAGGAAGGAGGAAGGAAGGAAGGAAGGAAGGAAGGAAGGAAGGAAGGAAGGAAGGAAGGAAGGAAGGAAGGAAGGAAGGAAGGAAGGAAGGAAGGAAGGAAGGAAGGAAGGAAGGAAGGAAGGAAGGAAGGAAGGAAGGAAGGAAGGAAGGAAGGAAGGAAGGAAGGAAGGAAGGAAGGAAGGAAGGAAGGAAGGAAGGAAGGAAGGAAGGAAGGAAATACAAATTTTACAAGCTCAGACATGAAAAGTCTTTGAGAAATCTTTAAGAGCAGTCTCCATTATTAAGGTTTTTAATCTATACCTTTCATATTTTGTCAAATTGTGTTGTGACTTGGTGACAGCGCTTATACCTTGTGTGCATCACAGCATCAGCTACAAATTAAAAGGCAAGATTAAAATCTCAGGCATAACAAAATGTACCTGATTGAGCTATAGCTCAGAAAAATTGACTAAATATTTTAAGGTGTGCAAAAATATTTATAAGTTAAATTAGCTCTTTACTAAGACCAGCTAATTGGTCCTCACAGGAGCACACTTATGGGCAAAAGCATATTAGTATTAGTGATAGCCTAACAGACTGAAACATAAGTGGGTAAGTGATATGAGATGTGTGAGACTAAAAAGTTAGAAGGGGCTACCAGGGGTGTTAAAACTCATGGTTTCCATTCTTGTGCTTTGGCTGTGCTGTTTTCCTTCCAAATTTTTATACAGTTTTTCAAAAGATACCTAGTGATTAACCATTAACATATGCTTTCCTGACACACCATACCCCCCCAACCCTCACAATGAAAAGAAAAAATCCTAAACAACCGCCAGACATAAAGTTCTGTTTCTAAAGGAGGTTCATTACAGTTATTTTCTAATTGCAGACAAAGTTTTTTTGATATTTACAGAAAAATACAACTACCTTGAATAAAACAGTGAAACAATATGGAAAGAATGACCACAATAACTACAGGAACCAAAAAAGAAGGAGCAAACTCCATGTAAAGGGAAGAGGATCTTCCTCAGAGCTGGTCTATTTCTTGCAAAATGGTTAGACTGACAGGTTTGGAAACCGAAGGGATAGCCACAGATTTGTGATAACATATGCAACAGCACAATACTTATCATGTCATCACACCATTACAGGCCATGTTCTGTGCTGAAGAGATGAGATGTTTGGTCATTATTACTGCACTCTGGGTCTCTGCTGAGATCACCCAGAAATGCTACTTTCAGTAAAACCAAGCTGCTATGCCAGAGCCCCTTTATGAATTTTTCAGATAATGTCAGGTGATATAAATTCCACCACAAGAACAATTCTGATAAATATAGATTTTCATAAAGATGCATGCTAAGTTGAAAAGAGGGAAATGCCATTCAATTCAAAGTAAGTGTAAGTGTCCTTTTAAAAAAAAGACGGTTCTGACATTCGTATCACTAACACCGAAGAAACTACTTTTGCCTAGATTTGCCTAAAAATAACAGTTAAGCAGTGTTCTGTCCACAAGACAGAGATGATAGCTTCTACATAGCTTAAGTAGGACTTGTGAGCTTCTAACAGTTTCTGGAGGTTTGTCCCTTTTTCCTTACTTTTTAGAATGTGTTATTCAATTTTGTGTAATAAACAGATTTTTTTCCTTCTACGTCAATAATCTGCTGAGTTTATCTACAGGTGATGTGTAAGTTTCCAAACAAGCTTACCAAACATTTGACCTCTAAAAGAACCACAGTGAAATAAGAATACTGAACAGTGATTCATTCAGTGAGGAATTCTTTATATACCTCAAATGAGTTTTTCATTAAAAAAATTATATTTATTTATACCGTGCATACTACAAAAGAGTCGGGGTTTTTTTCCTGTATATATAATGCCATTTCTTTTTTTTTAGACTTTCTGTATTACTTGCTCCTATTAGCCTGGGAGGAGAGATGAGAGTGCAGTACAGGTAACACTACAAAGGTTCATGTGTCTTGGAAAAATGCACCCTTACTGTTCTAATTTCCCTTTCTCACAAACATACTGAGCTTGCACAACATAAAAAAAACCAAAGCAAATCATTCAATTTAACAAGGCAAAGTAGTTGAGATTTTGAAGAAAATAAAAAAGATGAAAGAAAAATGTCAGTGAAATAGCTTACTTTTTTGCTATAAAATTTCTTTTTGATAAACCAGAAGGTAAATTTTTCTTATAGTTTCTGTGGAATTCACAAATGTTTTCAGGGCTTCATGAGTTCACAGAATAAAAAAATGACCAAAAGCTTGTAACTCATAGGAACATAGTGAGAATAAATTTAGAAATATTTTTCTTTTATTTTCTACAACTGGAAATACTGATTTATTAGATATTGATTCCTACTTTTGGAAATAAAAATACTGAAATGCATAAAAAGTACTAAAAAATAGGAAATCTATATTAGGAGTTTCCTCTAGAAAATGTAATAGGAGTTAAGTACTCAAGTGGACATAAAAAGTAAAAATAATCAAAATGCACAGCAAAACAATACAGCGACAAGCTGAAACAATGGAGCATTTCTGACTCTTTGCTAAGAATAATGTTCTGGGTCAGTAAATACAGAAAAGGAACACATTCTCACTGAAGGAATATTTTATTGTATGCTGAAATATCCCTTAGGGGTTTCTTTTTTTTTTGTTGTTTGTTTTTGATTGTGTTATTGTTATTTGTTTTGTAAAGAAAAGAGTCGACAACACACATCCTAATGGCTTTGGCTGTAGCTTGAGCTTAAGTAAATACCATCCCTCTGTCAGTATGTTGTGGTAACTAAGGCTGCCAGTGTGGTTTACCAGCTCAAGCAACATGTGTAAACACTGGAAACAAAAAAATGCAGAGGGCAGCCTCCTTTCTCTCTGCCTTTCTCAACTGCTTACTCCTTCTGTGTCTCCTGGTTGGGCTCACTCTCTTGCTCACTATATTTCTTGGAATTTTGTTATTTTCTGACAAATCATGCGAGTGAAACACAAAACATTAACACAACTAGACATCCTTTTTCTCTGTCTTCTAATTTTATCCAAAGGGAAAGTTACCCAATAAAAAGTCCAGCATATATTTTCAGAGCTACTAAGTGCTTCTGCCATTAATTTTTTTTTTGATTGTTTCTATAAAACATGCCTTAATCATACTACAGCACTTTCCATTGCAAAAAAGACAACTTTACAGAACAACATAGTTAACATTATTTCCCTGTTCATTTTGATTTTTTTAAAACACCACAAAAATCCAGGCTATAATAAGAAGCACACAAAATTATATTCATCTTTGTTCTGTGACAAGTAGTATCAGCATTTGTATCCCCAAATATTATGTATGTTTGACAAAAAAAAATTTCTACTGGTTCACATGACAAAATTCTGGGTCTTTTTTTTTCACTTTTATACAATGTAGTATATAAGGAATAAGGATGCACTATTGTTTCTAGTAATAATTGGCACTTGAAAAAAGCACCAAGAATTCTGTATTTCACTTTATCCCTGTTCCCTGCCCAGTATTTTTCTGTGTGTAGTCCAAAAACTACAACTGTGGTTATGGTGAATAACTACATTTTCTTTTTTCAAAATGTGTGCAAAGTTGGCACTTTTGTATTAACACTAAACACTAATACTCTTTGTTTGGCATTCATGCCCTCATACTGACCAGATCACTTTTATCTAAGTGTATTTTTTTTAAAGACACTTACTGAAAATATGGCAATAGTTTAAGAAAAAAAAAGCATGGATATTATTACACATCCCCTTGTAGTGTACGAAAAAGTGCATGACTGGATTTATGTAATATTACAAGACAAAAAAACTGTATCAAATCAGGTACTGTAAAGCATGCCAGCACCTCTGTATTACCTATATCTAGCAGGTAGTTAAAACAAGACCGTGGTTCTTTAAAAAATGTGCATTAAAGCTAACATAAATGAGTAAAACTAGGCAGCAAACTATTTTTCCTGCTTATCTAACAGCTGAATGTAACTGTAAAAATTAAGCAAAAAAATTAGAGTTAAACCACCATCAATACAATTGTTTTACATCATAGGCCTGTCAAGGCTCAATATATATATACAAGTGTAACAGCCATGCTTAGTAGAACGTTATCCCCAATGCTCAGAAGACACAAAGACAACTAAGTAGATTGCTTTTTCTTTCTATTTTTGTTTGTTTGCTATTTTTTTGTGTTTTTGGGGGGATTTTTTGTGTGTTTTTTTTTTTCTTTTTTGTTTTTTTTTGTTTTGGGTTTGGTTTTTTTTTTGTTCTTTTTTTTTTTCAGGCAAAAGTTATGGGAAGAACAAAGTATCTCTTTGGAGATGATTAAGAACATTCTAACAGAACTAGGGACAACTGCAGTTTTTCTGTTTGTTTTTTGTTTGTTTGTTTTTGTTTGTTTTTTTTTTTAATGAAGGATCCCTTCCCTCAAATTAAAGGTCCTACGCTTTTGTTTCTATTAAAAAAAAAAAAAAACCCAAAAAACCCAACAATCAAGAAAGGGGAAAAAGCACCTGGTGTTTCTTGTTTCTTTCTTTTGCTAAAAAAGAAAAAAAAATTATATATATATATGTATATTTATGTCTGTGTATATATATACATATACATATATATATATATATATATATATATATATATATATATATATATATATAGAGGGAGACTGTATATGGCAGTTCAGATGTAGTGGGCCCTCTCTGAGAGCTGGCATTATGCTGTGTCCATCCTTGACCTAATCTACTGAAGTGAAAGGAATGTTTTTATGCAGATTGGGGTTCTGGCTGTGCCGGTTTCGGCTACGGACAGAGGAGAACATCATGTTGCACCCAGGGACTTTGCACTTGTGCATTTCTCGCAAGTGCACTGTTTTGTAGTGCACTCTGAGGGTTCCCTTGTTGCTGTACATTTTGTGGCAAATGTTACACATTATCCCACCGTTGCTCACCGAAACACTGTTGAACATGAGGGATCCTGGGACATCGGTGCCCATACCTACGGCTAAGGCAGGGGCATCTGCTTTGTGGGCAGATTCCCCGCTGTCACTTGCCCCATCAACGTCGTCCAGGAGAATACCCTCATCGCTTCCTGCATCAGATTCTCTTGAGGAATGGATACTGCTGCTGGACTGGATGCTGGAGGTGGTGCTCAGGTCTAGTACCATATAGTCTTCTGCCATGCCCCTGCCATACCCATTCATATGGGAATCCTCAGTGCCAGCTGGCGAGGAGGTGTCTTCCCTTATGTCAAGCCCCATCTGATGCTGAGCGCCATATATCTTCACCAAAAATTCATCGCGGAGGTCCTTACTAAGAGAAGGCTGTGAAGTGTCCAAGCCCATGTCATCCAGTTCTTTGGTCAACAGTTTACGGTGCAGGTTTATGTTAGCACTGTGTCTGGGAAAGGAAGAGGGAAGGGAGAAAAGGAAAAAATGTACAGTATTTTTGATTAAACATATAGTCAACAAGCACCAAATTCAAGTTATGATTTATTGGTAATTTCTCATAAAAATATCCTCTATCCATGTTTCTTGGAAATTTCAGTCTTTCTATACATGGACAAATTGCAACATAAAAACTAAACAAAACAAGCAAATTCCCCCCTTATTTTTTTCTTGTTAGCTGCTGCTCCTCAATATTAGTCCCCAACAGCAGCTACCGCCCTTTTATTTGAAATTTAAAAAATAATAAATTGTAGTAGCAGAAAATGCAAAGTGCTCTGCTTGATTCCTGAATCCCTGCTGACTTTCTTTCTCTTCAAGAGACAAAAAATATTAATATATGAAATATATTAATATGTGTCTAGCTATGTCTTACTCTGGATCCATGTCTTTAGGTACTTATTCATACATACATACATAAAAATATGTTTATATTTTTATATATAAGTACTCACATAACTCTGTAAGTTATAGAAGGAGAGTAAAATAAAGATAACCAAATAAGGCATTGTCAGAGGTGCTGATTCTGGTAATTTAATTCTCATATAAAGGGATTCAGAATCAGGCCGAACCAAGAGGGAGAAGACTTGAAGGGTTTAAGAGAACAAGTCTTTGAAATCTACATGTAAGTTTCTGAAAATCTTAGTCAAAGTTAGCGGTTTCATCCTTTTAAGTTGTCACTGCTACTCCTACCTGTCCTTTTCCCTGCACTGTCTGCATGCAGTGCTGATTGACTCAAGAAGTGTAATGTCCAGTAAAAAAACCCTATTAACGGCAGTGAGAATTTTGCCCCAAATCAATCAAAAAACTTAAGCATGGTTTGGTTTAGGTATTTGCTGAAGTTACTGCAGATATTCAAGACAATGGAAAACGGTCACTGATGGAGGTGAATTTTAAACCAGATCCCAAGAGCTGCAAATTAAAAGACTCTCAAGTGTTTTACAGGATCTGGGCCTTTGCTCTCAAGAATAAAGCTTTATGTTTGCAAATAATGTATGCCTTTGGGTTAGTAAACATAAAATGGCCTATTATTTGAAACTGCATTCTAATCTCCACTTTTGGCATTGGCTTTATTCATCCACTGCAGTAGAACCTCACTGATTTGCAGTAGTGTCAGGAAACCCTCTTTGAAAAACTGCATTTTCTGAATTAATGATGCAACCAACAAACATGATGGACATCAAAGACCTCTGACTGCAGAACATGCTCATTTTACTGAAGTGCTCAAGTATAAGAAATCAGTGTAAAGTTTTCAGAAATAGAAAACTTTAGGGTTTAGTTTTCAGAATGCACAGCATTGCTGAGGAAATGACAAATATTTATTCAGTTTCTTTGGAGGGTGTCTTGAATTTTGAGTCAGCAAAAAAAGAATTAGCGAAGTTCTACTGCATAACATTCTTTGCAAGCTAAGGACCCAAACCCGCAATTTACAACATGCAGACTCACCAGTCTGTCTGCCCATTATAAATTGCAGATCAGAGCCCAAATGTAGGAGGGAAAAGAAGAGGGGGGGTGGGGAGCAGGAGGAGGGTGGGGAAAGAGAGAGAGAAAGAGAGAATTTTAACATAGGAATAGCTTAATTTGCAAAAAGCACTAGGTACAAAATTGGCAAGGGAAAACATAACAATGATCAAATATTTTACAGACATTCAGGTCCTACATTAACAAAAAAGGAGAAGAGGAACAATATCTATTAGCAATAATTCCTTATTGGAAGCTATTATTTTAAGAAACCCTTTGAAACATACCTCTCAACCAACTGAAGTCCAAAACATGGTACAGCAATACAATGCAAATAAATAACACAAATGCAAAATTAGGAAGATTAAATTGATGTGGAGTAAATCTCTGTAATTTTCTAACATTTACTTTGTGATTAATTTATCTGTAGCGCATAACTTAAGGGAATAAACAAACAGCAATAGACCTAATCTCCTATTCACCTGCAAATGCAGGTAACTGTTCTCTGACATAAAACTGATACTGAAATGCAGTGTAATTTAATTGTGTGTGCTTGGGATGCAATTTTTCCAGTAAGGGGGTGGTCTAGAACAGAGGATTTCTCTCCTAATGAGAGACAGTTGAGAGGTATGGACAAGGGTTGAAAAAGTGGAGAGTATTTCTTGCTTTTGTCCCACATTGGAAATACTCTTTTCACACAAGCAAATACAGTACCACTGCTTTTTTGAGGCATAGAAGTGAATTTATGCATATCCCCACACTGCACTTAGGAAGGCTGAGCTTACCTTGTGATAAGATCAGCTTTCTAATCTTTTGCTAAATTGAGATCACAAAAGAGAGAGAGAGAAGAGAAAAGAGAAAGAAAGGGGAAGGGGGAGAGGAGAGAGAGAGAGAAAGAGAGAGAGAGAGAGAACAAATTCACATTCCAATCCAGACATATCTGGTTAAAAAAAAAATCTGAAACCAATAAAACACAGACTTTAAAAAAAAAAAGTCTTGATTGTTAACCTGTTTTATGCCAGCTGTAATATCACTTATACTATTTTCCTGATGGATACTGGCTCAATCACACAATACAGAAAACATAAAGCAGATCAATCAAAGCATATTCACACCATACCCATTATTATCCACAAATGAGTTCTGAACAGATGCATGCAGTGCACATACATGAATGATAAACAGTAGTCCTAATGGTCCCTTGCTTTCCTGGTTTCAGATGGAATATAGCTCCATGTAAAGTTACTAAGTACAGTACAGGAAATGCTTACTGTGAAGGCCTGTCCACACTGACCAGAGTTATTAAATGACCATAAAAGTACATTTGTGCTTATCATCATAAGGCTAACTGCAAACTATTCATAAAGTACTCATGTGTGTACTTATTTCTCCCCTTCTCTCCCTTCTTCACTCCTGTGTTATGGGAATTTGTTTCAGCATACAAGCTAGTTAGGATAACTGTAACTATTGCTTCCATGTGTTTGTGTCTATTATTTCCTTGGTTTTCTGCTGAGAAAAACAACAGTCAGGCATGCAGTGAAAAAAAGTTCAGCATTCACTAAATGAAGAGATAAGAATAAACTGCCATGTTAAAGAGGGGGCACCAAGCCCCAGATAGAAGAAGGCCATTCTGAGAAAGACCAGTGTAAGGATGCAAACTCTGCTGATGCTCTGATAAGATGAGATGACTCCCTTATTAAATTCTCACTTACAGCAGTAACAATCAGTAATCTAGTTAAAGTATGTACCAGCCCATAATATCTGTCAGGCAAACGATGTGCAGAAATGTGTGGACCAGTTCTGGCACCCTGCTGAGTACTGTCCCTTTTCCGCTGTCAGCAGTACTGTTGGATTCTTCTAATATAATTACATTGACTTTTATTCAATTAAGTGCCATTCCTAGCCTTAAAAAGAAGCTACTTTATCAATTGATTCAGGTGTAATGCAATAATAAAGATGAACTCATGGCAGTGCATTAGCTCTGCTGTTCATAACTTCTGAACATAGGTTCATTCATAGCAGTCGATTTCCATTATGCAACCACAGTTCAAAAGAATTGATTCTTTTACATTCATTTCTTAATCTATTTCACTTGTGCTTAATACTGTCCCTAAATATCATGTGTGAAAACATTCTAGTGGAGAAGGAGGTATGAGTTGTGAAAAAAATTCATTTATTTAGATACTGAAGTTTTGAAATCTTATTAAAAACCCCAAAGTCTCAGACCCCCTTCTGCCTACCAAACAGAGATTTTCCATCCCAATCCAACCCTTTTCCCACTGCTTTGTCACTCCCAAACCCTAGGAGTCCCCTTCGAGCCCTCAGCCAATGCTAACCACATGTCATCTTGTTCATCTGCTCCTCCCCATGACACCTAAAGCTTCTTGCTTCAGCTATTCTGTTCCCTGATGTGATTTACAAAGCTCCTTACATCTTCCTCCTCTGCTGCCAGGTATGTGTAAACAATGGTCCCTGGGTAAGCTGAGGCACAGCTTGGGCAGAGTGATTTGTGCCAATGCATGAACACTGCCATCAAACAGACAGAAAATCTTGAAGCGAAATATGCCAAAACCTGCTGAGCTTCAGCTTGCCGTGGCTTCATTACTTCTCATACCTCAGCTAGCTAATTTAAGGCCATCTCTGGTGTCATTTGCAACAACACAACTAATGCTGTATCTGCAGGGAAAAGAACTTAAAGAACATAAATTTTTGGTAGAAATAAATATAAGTGTATGAAACAAAATATTTGACCTAATTAAATTCTTTGAATGCCTCTAGACTTCCTACATTGCTCATTTGTACATCAACTACCAGAATGGCATTTGATCCTCACAATGGAAATGTTGTGTAAAGGCAACCGGTGATTGAAGTTTTCCAGATAGAAATACGCCATCACATGAGTTTAACTAAAGGCATATCTCATTCTACTTCAGTTACTATAATTTACCAGTTCCAAGGCAACAAGGGATGGTGAAGAGAGTTTGTTCTGAAAATACTACCTGGGGCAAAGAATGTCCAAACACCTGTTGAAGTCTGTACTACATGTCAGATACCCTTAAAAATGAGGAGGGTATTTTTCCAAGATGTTTTGAAATGTAGCTTGTTGTGGCAAGGAAGTATGAGCAAATTCTAGGACCCAGAATACTGGATTTTTTGACATAAATACCACTCTTTTATTTTCAAGTTACTGTTAATTAATTACATATATGGAAGGCAAAAGTGTGTGCAAAGCTCTCACTAGAGTGAATTTGGCCATAAGAATGGAGCAGTTCTGCCATGAGGATGAAAATTATAATGATAATGATAATGATGATACACACAAGATCTATGGGTGTGGTGAAATGTCAACCTCTGAGTTCACTACTGCTTTTTCAGACAGGAGTTCCAGTAGCAGTGCAGTGCAGAATCCTACAACAGTTCAGAAGCTCCGAGACTCTGAGCATGATCCCACTGGTGGTATAGTGTTTTCCTTCTCATGCGAAGTTCATGGAAGTA